AGCAGTGATGTTTACATTGATATTTGGAAAATGTTTCATTGTATGTAGACTGACTGCGGAAATTACCCAAGGGTAACTTTGGGTTATTTGAATGAAACTTTGATGAACATTAGTGCTCAGGTACAATTGCTCACACCAAAAAGATAGTCACTGTAGGGGAAAAAAACCAGGTGCATTGGTCTTCGGATCAGACTTTAAAGTTTTATCTGTCTGAATCCTGATTCGAACCCTGGGAAAATTCTCTCTTGGGAGTTGGCTTGAAAATTTAAATACTGTATATATTTGCATAAAAGTCAAATTCCTAAGATTAAATTTTTGGTAAAAATGTAAATTTTTGTTATAGGAGTTAACATTTCAGCAAGGTTAAATCCACCCTCGCTTGCTTTTGCAGAGCTACCAAACAGAAGACTGTGTCCATCAATCCCATCCGTAATAAAGTATAAAACATGCAATAAAACATGCACAGACATAAGGAGCTGAAAAGCCAGCTTCAATGGTGTGTTTCTGTCAAGTAGGTTTGCACCAGGTTGATTTTGACTTTAGCTGAGAGTGGTTGGTAAGTTCAAAAAGTGTGGATATTTTGGAAATTTGGATAAAATTCCAGGGTGAATGCTGACACAAGTTATTTGATAAATTTTACTTTTGGCTAATCATTGGGGTCAGCTTTTACATGCGTTGACCATTACGAGTATGTACAGTATTTTAGTGAAGTCAACCTCTGATTTAACCTGCATCTCAAGTCTGGATGGTTAAGGTTTGTCAGGCTTTGTGAAAGAAAGCAACTTAAGTGAGCTGAGGTAGTTTCGGAACAGAACAAATGTCTTTACAGCACTGCATGTGAGCCAAGAGGAGCAGGGGTACTTATCCATACAAAGACCCTGATGGGGTCAGGTATCACTCTGCACTCTGTGCCAGCATTCAGAACACCCTTCCCCTATTAGAATTAGGAGTCAGGGTTGTGAATCAGACTTATCCGATACTGTGACCTTTTTCAGAGTGCTCTTGCACAACTTAAAATCAAGCCCATCATTTGTGCTGAGGTGCCAAGGAGGGAAACTTAGAATCAAGAGATGCAGGCAACAAGGTTTTTAAAAAACCCATAGGATGCAGGGATATCCAACTCCCATCTGATACCTCATTTCACTTTAGTCTACACAACCTACTCCCAGTTACTATCAAGGCTTGTATTTCAGAAGGCAAATGGAAGTTTTGTTCTTGTCCTATACACTGAAGGAGATATATTTACATACATATACAAAACTATTTACATTTCATCAGAGTGAGATCCAAAATTCCAGCAAATGCCCTAAAATGCCAAAATACGCAGCAAATACATTTCTAAAATCCTGTACATTGATGCATTTTATATTTAAAAAGTCACCTTTCATTGCTTGTGCTTATTCATTTTGGTTTTTAGTTGTGCAAAATTCTCCTTGCACCATTTTGTGTGCTCTTCATACACATTTTGTTGGAAATAGTTATATCCCCAATACTGCAAGCCGAATAAAGCTTTCTCAATATTTTGTCCTCTCCAATCAGAGGACCTTGAAATGTCTTGACAGGACTCTGGCAGTGGCCATAGCAACCAGTTGTGCTAAAATGCCTAACATGTTGGGTGTAATGTGTCTTGGGGATCATTACAATGGGGCACTAGCAAATTGGCACTGCTTTAGATTAGAATTAGATTCAGATTTTATTGTCACATGTACTTAAGCACAATGAAAAGTGCATAATGTACAAAGGTACCTAGGTGCAAAAACCTTAGGTACTAAGTAATAAAAGAAACAGCGTTAAAAAGCTAAGTATTACTTCATAGAATAATTAGAAAATACATATAAATAAGGTAATAGTTAACATTAGAGTCTTTCCTTAATTTTCTTGTTTAAAGTTCAACAGTCTTTGATGAGTCTTCCGTTTATCTTGCTCTCTGGGAGACCTCAGCTGCCTGTTCTTGATGCTGCTACTGCAAATACTGGGGAAACTCCCTCACTGCTCGCCCTTCCCGCATTGGGCCATGATACCGTCGCTGCTGCTGAAGCTGCTGCCTCTCCAATCTCTCTGGAACAAGCGCGGGTAAGACCCACTCGCATGCTGAGCCGAGACACGGCCATGAGCCATCGAGAGAACAGACCGAGCTCTGGCACGAGCCGCCAAGAGACCAGGCCAAGATCTGCAGAGATGCCAGCCTTTATCACCCAATTCAAAATTCTTATTGATTGTAGAGGAAAATATTTGATGGCGTGTAACATGGGCTGCTAATTCATTATAGTCTGGCTGTTGCTCAGGATGATTTTCAGTTATTTTCATCCTTACTCCGAACATCTTTGCATCAACATTGATTACTCTCAGGTTTACCACGTTATCTGTGAGCACCATTAAATTACTGAACACCGTTTTGTGTAACTATTTTGAAAAAAACATCAGAGAGAATGAAAATGTTTGATTCTATAGAAAACAGCTTTTTCTGTACTAATTTTAGTCAGTTAATATCATCAAATATCTCATGATAAAGTAGACTGACAGACCATAACAGCACATCTGCTTGGTTTCAGAGTTGATTCCTGGTAAGTTCAATCAAATTTCAAAATTAAAAAGACAAACAGTGAGTTAGCATTATGATTTAACCCATTAGGCAAAGAAAACATTTCTGCAGCAAGTCAAATCCAACTATTTCAATTCAAAATCCTTTTAGGTTTATCATTTTGAGGAACAGGTCACATTAACTTTCGACGTTACATTTGTCTCTCCCTCCGCATATGCTGCTAAGAATTTCCAACCTTTATGTTTTTAGTCTTTCACTGGCTTGATAAAAAGTGGCATTTTATTTTTTTTTGAAAGAAGTTCAGAAGCACTGGCCGTTGCTGATCATCATTTTTGAATTCAGCACCAGGTTACACACACTTGTCCTGTAACAGTTGTCTATTTACTGACATACCCATTGGAAAAGCAAGAGGGTCACTTATGATTTGGAGTGTTCAAAATTGAACTAACTTACCACCAAGAACCTTGGCAATGTAATATTTACAGATTTAACTGATGAGACCGCATGCAATCCCAGTTGCACTGCACTATGCAATTGCCAAGCACATCTCATTCATCAAAAGCTATTTTTGGAAATTTCATTCTTATGAGTTCAAATTTTTGTCAAGATACCCTTTCCAAAATAAGATGTTTAAACACACAATAAAATGATTATAGGAGATTCGGGAATATGAGGTAATGTGGATGTAGGTAATAAAACATTCATCCAGCTCTAATCAATATTTCAATGTAGGGACATAATCATGAGGCATTGCACCAATCTGCTGTTAGCAACATAGACAACGTCATTATTTACACAATAACTAATCTTCTGTTCCTTGCAAACAACAATTTTATTCTAGTAAATGCAAAGACCCAACCTGCCTTGTACTGTAGTTAATTTCTGTCAATTCAAACCTGTCTCTTAGAATAGTACAGTCATACACCTTAGAAACAGACCCTTCGGTCCAACTTGTCCCATTTGCCTGCATTTGGCCCATATCCCTCCAAACCTTTCCTATTCATGTACCTGTCCAAATGTCTTTTAAATGTTATTACTGTACTTGCATCTACCTTTTCCTCTGGCAGTTCATTCCACATACAAACCATCCTGTGTGTGAAAAAGTTTCCCCTCCGGTCCCTTTTAAATCTTTCTCGCCTTACAATTATGCCCTCTAGTTTTAAACTCCCCTACCCTAGGCAAAGGACCTTTGCTATTCACCTGATGTATGCCCCTCGTGATTATTTTTATACCTCTATAGCCATTTCCGTAGAACTGTTTTCACACATTATTTCAATTTGAAATTCCAAGCAAGCTCATGTCAAAAGACGTCCATAATAAATATTTGATACTGACTCAGAATAGGGGGAAAACTGAGACTTTTTATCATTACTAATCTACATTGATTTTATTTTACAGCATTGAGGGAGTAATGGATAGCAGGTCCCAGAACAACAGCGCTCGGGCAATGAGTCCCAGAGCAATGAGTCCGGGGCAGAGACCAGCAGAGGGGAGGTAGTCCTGGAACTTATCTTGAAACAGCTGAGTGCTGAAATGGAGCAGACTGGAGGCATAGGAGCAGTGTGGGGACAGCTGTTGGACTGGGGTCTTTGTGCGGGTGGTCAGACCACGTGTCGAGCCCCTGTGCTGAGCTGCAACAATGTAATGTTTATTTGAAACTTTTTACCTGACTCTTATGTCAATCCTTTAAACAAGTCTTATTTCTAACTTATTCTTTTAAACTCTAAAGTAACGCAACTACTTCTTATTCCTAAACTAAAACTGAAAGAACTGCAAATGTTGTAAATCAGAGAAAAATACAGAAGTTGTTGGAAAAGCTCAACGGATCTGGCAGCATCTGTGCAGAGAAATCAGAGTTAACTATTCAGAACTGAGGAAGGGTTGCCGGACCCAAAACACTAACTTTGATTTCTCTTCACAGATGTTGCCAGACCTGCTGATCTTTTCCGGCAATTTCTGGTTTTGTTACTTTTTAATCCTCTTTTGTATCCAAGATTTGTACCCAGGTACCTGTACCTAATTTGGTGCCATAAGAGGCAGGCATTGTAACAGCTTTTCACTACTTCTACAGTGGAGTACACATGACAATAAAGGATATTCTATTCTAAAACAAAACTATTAATGCAAATTTTTGGATGAGGTGTTAACCCAAGTTTCAGACTGCTGACTTGGATGGGTTTAATGATTCCATTGCACTATCCATCGGAGAGATGTTAGCCAACACATCTTTCAATCAATGCCAGATGACATTTTGGTCATCTAGCTCATTGCTATTTGTGAAACCTTGCTATGTGCATATTGGTTCTGTGCTTACCTAAAAACAAAAATCAACATTGGAGCAATTAAGATTAAGACTTGTTGCAATAGGTAGTACATATCAGGGAGATCCATTGTCTTCTTTTACCATTCACCTAGCCTGGATTTATAAATGCTGATTAAACGAAACCGACTACACAAGTGAAAGATACTCACTTACTGTTTATTTGCCTGAAATTATTTCACATCTCTTTGTACAACAGCTACAGAACAGTAGTAAACCATCTGATAAAAGCAACAGTGCTGATGATAAACAATGGCTGCAATTTTTTTAAATTTTATTTTCCACATCTGCATCATCATGCAGTTTGAGACTCGATGCAGAACTCTGGCACACTAATCTGATTAAGACTTAACCAGTTCAAAACAAAAGGGAAAGTGAAAAAGCTACAAGGTATAAAACAAAGAAGCCTGGCCTCCATTCCTGGATAAGTTACATACAAAACAAAATGAAAGGTACATGTTACAATTTTTTTTTGTTATTTTTTTCTGAGATGCTGTAAATTTTGCAATGCAGCAACCATGCTAAAAATGACAGAGATAACTTTGCTCTATACAACAAAGGCTCATATGAAATAAAGGCAACAGAACAGAAAATAATCAAAGTGTTCCATTACCTTATGGAACACTCATAGTGGTTGCTATCACAAAGTAAGTCAAGCTTAAGGTTTTGACAAGAGGATTGCTGCTAGGACCATGCAAATCACACATGCATGTTGGAACTATGCACAAATTGGGTAAAGGGGGAGGAAAGCAAATTTAAATTAGGCAAAACATTTAAGAAAAAAAACAAAGAAGATATAAAGTGATGTTTCTTTTAAAACATTTGGACTCAGTTAACTTTGGTGGAACCTCACCACGACTTCAGAAAATGATTGGCAATTTGGTCTTTGTAAATAAAAGTTCACCTCTTAATTTCTTTCAAAGTTTCAGTCTCTTGGTCAGTGGTGAAGCAGAAAACCCAGCTGTTTTGTTGTTTTCTGAATCTTGTAAAAGTCGCAGTGATCCAACAGGACAGACAAAATAAGTTCATAAAGGCAACATAAAATCACTTAAAGGAGAGCTTCCAGGCTACTAGACAGCCAAAATAACTAGTTTATACAGTACTATATGCAAAAACAGGTAAAAGAATTACAATCCATAAATAAGAATCAGGTCCCAGACCTGCTATGTGAACAATTTTTAAATATGTGTGTGATTTAAAACTTATGTACAAAAAACAAAATCACTTTGCATGTCACTGCAAGGTTTTGGGATGGCAAAGGTAATGTATCCATCGAATAGTTGATATCTTCAGGCAGAGAACTTCCAAATCGGTTTGACGTTGGTCCATTCAAGTAGATGAAGTGAACAAGAGAAAAAGATATCTTTTTACACACAGCATGAACACAAAGGCAATTAATGAGCAGGAAGTTTCCTTTTGTAGCTGGATTGCTGCTACACACTTTTTTTTAATCATCTTCAGAAATCAAAAAGCATTAAGAATGAAGCAGGGTCCATAATGAGCCCAGCAGTGTACAGGCCTCTGGTGAAAGAACCCGAGCTGGCGATCTCAGCAATCCCTGGCCCAAGGTAAAAATGCTGGAAAAAAGTTTCTTTTTCTGATTCTTCTATAAAAGAATGATTTGTCACTGACCATCAAGCGAGGAATTCACCAGGCTTCCGTGTAGCGGACATCCACTTCTTTGAGGTTTGGCAGCTTTGCCTATTGGATATCGAAGTAACAATATAGTTAGTATTTGATCTGATGTTATGGAATACATTTCCCCAAACAGAAACAGGTGTCTGCATAATAGGGACTTGGTCATCATCAACTTGCTTTGCTATGGCATATTTCATTAAAAAAAAGTCCCAAAGTGTTTAATGGTGGCAAATAGTGCATAACTTCATGGGTAACACAGAAGTAGATATTAGAATTGGAATGCCAACCGAGATGAACTGAAACTGAATGGACTAAACACAAATACTGTGACTAGAACAGGTCAGAGGCTAGGAATCTTGCAGGGAATAACTCACTCCCTGACTCCTCAAAGCCTGTCCACCATCTACAAGGCACAAGTCAGGTGTGTGATGGAATACTTTGCACTTACCTGGATGGTGCAGTCCCCATAACACTCAAGAAGCTTAACACTATGCAAGACAAAGCAGCCCATTTAGTTGGCATCACATGCACAAACATTCTCTCCTTCCACCACTGACACTCGGGAGCAGCAGTGTGTACTGTACCTTAAAATCCAATGACCACAATCATCTAGAAGGGCAGTAGATACATGGAAGCACCACCACCTGCAAGTTGCCCTCCAGCCATTCAACATCCTGACTTGGAAATATATTGCTGTTCCTTCAGTGTCGCTGGGTCAAAATCCTGCAATACCCTCCCTAACAATATTGTGGTCCTACCTAAATTAAATGGACTGCAGTGATTCAAGAAGGCAGCTCATCACCACCTCCTTAAAGGCAAATAATGATAGACAACAAATACTGGCAATTAGTTTTTTAAAATTGTTGTTTTACTAATCCTAATGCAAATATTTTGTTTGTTATGCTAGCCTTGTGTAATGGAACACAGGAACAGGAGTTGGCCAGTCAGCCATCAATCCATTCACGATTGATCTGCATCTAAACTTTATCTACCTAGCTTGTTTCAACAACTCTCAACACCTTTGCCTAACAAAAAAAATCTCAGTTTCAGTTTGCGATTTGGTGACAGTGCCCAAGAAAGAATCCAAAGTCACAAGGTGAAAGATGACATCATCCATTTCTTAAAAAACATATAATCTATGATTTGGAGACCACTCGGCTCAGTTGTGCTCCTTGGTCGCTTGGGTCCAGATACTCCATCTTGATCACTGTGATAAGGTTTGAGATACTCTGAATGACTTATAGAGTCACAGAGTTGTACAGGATGGAAACAGACCCTTTGCTCCAACTTGTCCATGCTGATCAGATATCCTAAACTGATCTAGTCCCATTTGCCAGTATTTGGATCTTATCATTCTAAACACTTCCTACTCATAAATCCATCTAGATGCCTTTTAAAATGTTGCAATTGTACCAGCCTCTACCACTTCTTCAGGTAGCTCATTCCATACATGCACCACCCTCTGCATGAAAATGTTGCCCCTTAGGTCCGTTTTAAATCTTTCCCCTCTCACCTTAAACGTATGCCCTCTAATTTTGGGCTCCTGCACCCCGGGGAAAATACCTTGTCTATTTACTCTATCTATGCCCCTCATGATTTTATAAACTTCTATAAGGTCACCCCTCAGCCTTCGATGCTCCAGGGAAAATAGCCCCTGCCTATTCAGTTTCTCCCTATAGCTCAAAACCTCCAATCCTGGCAACATCCTTGCAAATCTTTTCTGAACCCTTTCAAGTTTAACAACATCTTTCCTATAGCAGGGAGACCAGAATTGAATGCAGTATTCTAAAAAGTGGCCTTAGACAGAACAAATTAAAGAGCCTGGATGTACAAAAGTAAGTCTAATTAGCAGCATGATTCTTTTAGGTGGCCTTTAACAGCAAATTATGGCCCATTGATATCACATTTCCCATCCTCTGGGCAATAAGTTTGATTTCTTCCCTGACACTCATTGAGATTTAGCTACCACTGCAGAGAAAGGTCCCAATTATAATCGTGTATATTCTGTTTCTCAGTTACTAGGGTTGTTATAATCATAAAGCAAGTCAAAGATGCTGCTTTGAACAGGACGTTTACCTTCAGATCTTCATATGTATCAGCTGACAATTTGGTGCTGTTCATATTCAAGCTGCACAGACTCCTCATGGCTAAAAGGTAAAATACACATATTTTCATTAGAACTTTTGACAACAGAACACAAATTTCAAGCTGCAGGCTCATTGATAGAGTTTACTTACATGTTTTCAAGGAGCCTTCCCATAGTGAAACCTCTTCCCAAACAAACAAAGCCATTGAAACCTTTTCCGCCGTCATCAATTTAAATTTAGTTTTACACATTGGATTCTCTTTCGTCTTTGTCTCGGACATTATTACTAAATCAGAGCAAAGGAGTTCCTGCTTGCTTTGTTGTAACCATGTTACGTCCTCCACAGAGGGACAAGGTTTGTCTCCGATCCCAAGTCAAATCTACTTTGAAAACAGACTCCGAAGAGTCTGAGAGAACAGCTGGGGGTAACTCAATCCATGGGAACTCACGGATGGGGTGGAGTGGGGTGCGGTGGGGTAGGTAATGCCATCTCAGGATGGTTCCTCCTCATTTCTGCTGCCAGGGAGCTCTCCCACGGGCAAATAAGATGGCTCTGTATGCTCCATGAAAGTGAGGAACTAATGGAGGTGGTTACAGTTTTGATTGGGGGAGGTTTGAGGGAAAAGGTTGCTGGGGTGGGGGGGTGCAGAAGGCTATTTCTAAGGACCCAATGGCTTTCTCATGTTTAAGAAAAATACATGCCTTCGGGGCTGCCTACAGGTGGAGCTTTTGAGGCTCCAGAGCTGCCTGGCCTTTGGCTGAACTATCAGCATCTCACCTGAGGATACCAAATAGGTCGCTGCCTCCAAGAAAATTGTGTCAGAGGGACACAATGGCAGCAGATATAGGCTTGAGATCTGGCATTTTGTCCTGATTCTGGCCTTCACAAGTCTGCAGAGGCTGTGTTAAAACCCATCTGTGTGCTTCTATGATTGAGACATCAGGCAGTAAGGGCCCAGCTTTCCAACAGCATGGTGCTGGGAATGATCCAGAGCAGTGTGAATGAAGAAAGCCAAAAATCAACCACAGCATATTATTTTCAATTATCAGTAGAGAGACAAGCCCTTGTTCCTCTCAAACCCCTTTCTTTGGGAGTAAACTATAAATTAGTTTGCCCATGCAAAATGGATCAAAATAGGGTCAACTCATTAAAATGAAAGAATAGGGATTGTTAGACAAAACAAAAAGGACTAAGATCAATTTAGTTCAGTTTTTAGCATCCTGTTTGATGCAATGATAATGGCATTGTCAATGGATCATGGCATCAATTGCACAAGAGAGGCAGATATGACATCAGGAAAATCCCAGTAATGGAAAACGTTTAAAAGCTAGAGATTGAAAGTCAACCTGGTCCTCCCAATCACGCCCTGCTTGTTTCAAATGGTAAATGTTTAATATGCACAATGAAGTCAAGGAGCCTGCAGCTACCAAGCAGAGGAATAGTGTGATGTTCTGCAATAGTTTTGTTATAGACGTTCAGACCCCACAGTATTAAACTGGTTCCTTTAGACTGAAAGGATGTTTGCTGCACTTTATGCAATTGATCACTGTTCAATCTCTTAACAAACATAACTTCCCAATTTTGATTTTTTTTAAACCTGGTACAATATTGACAGTGTTTCCAATGTCATGGATTGATGCAAACCACACTTTTTGCACCTTCATGTGGTGTTGCATGTTCATGTTGCTGGGGTACACCCTTTGCTCATATTTCAATTTGAAACGTGCCAATACAGCGGGTTAACAAACACTGGTTTTCCATTCCCATAAGGTTGAGAATTGTCCTACACTTACAGCTAAGTGCCAGGAGGCCTGCATCTGTGACGGGTGTCTCACAAAGGTTCAGAACTTGCAGTGACGTGAGGTGCTCTGAAAGAACTCGCAACCCTGCATCACCAAACTGTAAAGAAGACACAAGCTCAGTAAATAAAATCAGATTGTAACAGCCTGATCACATCGAATGTCACTAGATAAACTGCTGATTCAATTAACTTCTTCAGAATTTCCATTAACATAGATTTCTTCCTCTTCACAGTTACTTGAAGATTATACAGCCATTTTAAAATTGACTTTGTTCTAGTGATATTAAATTTCTTCTCCAACTTACTTCAAAAATGGGTCTGAGTTGTGGCATTGTCTCTGCCAGGCAGAACATATTAGGTGTGAGAAATATAATATGTCAAACAATTTACACATCATTCCCCATAAAAATATTTGTTTCCAACAGATTGAGAGGCAGACTGTCATGTTCTTACAGTGATAAAGAGAATTCGGTTTGCTACAGATCTTGAATTTTGGACGTTTCATCTTGATATCTGGGATTAGTATACCTTAGAGTCCCGGTTGGTGATTGGTATGCTTTTGTTCAATTTAAAAATGTAATGGCAGCTGGCACCTGAGCACTGTCTGGTACTGGACAATTTAATTGGTTTGGAGCTTTGGCAAACACAGTTTTAAAAATAATGGAGTGAGAATTCAACTAGCACAGGCTGTGAGCACATTTTACAAAACTGTTCATTCCCTTCCCATAACTTTCCACCCAGTGATTTTTAATGAACAGGAGGCTGCAGAGTGCATAGTTTTGCAATAAGCTTTCCTAGCATACGCTAAGAGTGCAGATGCGCAGTATTTAATGTTAAATTAACAAAACTTAATGCACTTCTGGTTTAAACTTAAAGCTTTGTTCACCTCCCTGATCATTTCCTACAGGCTGCAGCCATTCCTTTGAGATGAAAGTCATCACTGGTACGCTTGAACAAGATTGTTGTGATTCATTTAGATCATCTGTTCATAAGAAATCTTTTAAAAATGATAAGAAACCAGAGCCGCTTCCTTCACTTCAACATTTTCATCAGATGCCTCTTTTATCTCTGTTCACCAACTGTTCATAGTATTCACTTCATCCTTATACACGTTTGTATGGGATAAGGGTATCCATTACAAATTCATATTATGATGTAAGGCAGTGTAAACATCTTTCCTCATTCTTTACTTCAGTGGTAGATACGAAGGCTTGTCCATTGGCAAGGTGTTGGAAGATCACGGTCAGAGGTCACACGACACCAGGTTATAGTCTGACGAAGGAGCAGTGCTCCGAAAGCTATGGTTTCAAATAAACCTGTTGGGCTATAGCTTGGTGTCTTCTGACCTTGCCCAACCCAGTCCAACACCGGCGCCTTCACATCATTGGAAGATTACAGAACATAAAGGGCAGGATTAGGCAATTCAGTCCCTCCAGCCTGCTCCGCCTCTTAATACAATCATGACTAATCTGATTCATGGATTGATTGATTTATTGTTGTCACATGTACCGGGATACGGTGAAAATCGTTGTTTTGTGCACTATACAGGCAGATCATACCATACAAAGTGCAGCAGGGTAGCAGAACACAGTGCAGAATGCAGTGTTACAGCCGCAGAGAAGGTGCAGAGAGAGGGAGAGAGCGAGATCGGACTTAACATTTGAAAGGTCCATTCAAGAGTCTGATAACAGCAGAGAACAAGCTATTCTTGACTCTATTTGTATGTTTAATCAAACGTTTCTATTTTCTGCCTGACGGGAGAGGATGGAAGACAGCATAAACGGCATGGGAGGTGCCTTTAATTACAATCTCATCTGGGTCTCAACTTTGCTTTCCCATCCACTTCTCATAACCTGTTACCAATCAAAAATCTGTCTAACTTCATCTTAAATTCAGTGTCACAGCATCGACTGCACTCTGGGGTAGAACAGGTTGACTGAACAAGTGGTAAAGTGGTCCTGGGCATTTTGAATAAAGGCATAACAGTACAAAACCCAGGAAGTTATTCAAAAATCGACATAAAACAGTAGTTGAGCCCCAGCTGGAATAGTGGATGCAATTTCATGCAGAATGGATGCCCCCGCACCCCCACCCCACCACCACCCCAACCAGCTTAAATGACTCCGTTCGGCTTGGAAGCTCCCAACTGAACTAATGGAAGTTGGGCGGTAATTGACTCAGGGTATAACTTCTGCCCACTTTGTGAGGAAGCCTTTCATCGGAGAGCTGCCAGCCAATCAAAATCTAGCAGGTCTGCAGTCCCAGCAGTGCCATCAGAAGTTGTAGCCAATGCTAGGAGAGCAACCAGTCTCCAATGTTAATTATTTCTCGAGCCAGATACTCAGAGGGATGTGGGGTTCTCTGTAGGGTCAGTCCAGGAGGGTCTTGTTTGGAGATGGGTGGGGTGGGATTTGGGATCAACATGCAAGGAGAGACACAGAGAGAGACACAGAGAGAGAGAGCCTCCAGATGGAGGTACCTTCCCTCTCTCCCTGCCTTGGTAAATTTTTTAAATAAACTATAACCTTAGCAGCTGGGGCAAAAAATTATGGAGGAGGAGCCCCTCAGCAGGGCATTCTGTGGCTGCAGTTGAGCCAGGCTGGCCTCAAAGTCTATCTCGAGCTTCAGTTAATGCTGAACTTCAAAAGTAGAGACAAAAAGCAAGTTACAAACTTGCTATATTACCGATGCATCATACAGTGAGGAATGATTAATGAAACATTTGATTCTTCATAACAGAAGCCAGAGTAAATCTGAGAAACACAAGGTCCTCACCTGGGTAGACCACAGGTTTAGCTGTTTAAGAGATGGCAGTTTGATTAGTTGTTCTGCACAGGCACTGGTTACATTGGTGAAGGCCAGGCTTAGATTTTCCAGATTTCCAAAAGATCCTGAGCTGAGAAGTCTGGCTAGGTCTGCATCCTGAAAAAAAAACAAAATCAGAGAGAAATATATAAATGCATGGCTATTACACTAAGTAAAAGTTCACCTCTGCATATATTTTGTGTCATGCCCAACTAGATTTTAAGTTACACTGAGTGAAATTAATCTGGGTTTTTGTTTGTGTCCAAGTTGAAACAAGTTGCTCAGCGACTGGCTTCTGCAAATTTTCACAAATCAGGGACAGAAGAGCCTTGTAAAGCAGGGTTAAACTGTGCAGCAGTTTATTCTGAGACTGAAGTCACATTTGTTAATGAGTGTTATGTTTTCAGTGCTTCTATTGGTATTTTAGGACTGGAAATAACTCCAATCTATAGATGGATGAATGACTATCAATGACAAATAATGATTCGAATTAGTGTCCAAGTTCATCTTTTTCTAGAAGAACTGTCATGCAAGATTTACACAAAGGTGCTCTGGAAATGTGTATAAAGTAAGACAGAAATGAAGAGACTTGTACCTATTTACCAGCTTTCACCACATCATGGCATCCTAATTATAGCCAATCAAAGATATTTTCTTTTGAAGTGTAGTCACACCTAAAAGTAAATGTAGCAGCCAATGTGGAAATAACAAGGTCGCATAAAAAGCCATGAGAAAAATCATCCAGATTATTTGCTTTAGTGGGATTGTTTAAGAGGTAAGTACTGGTCAGAACACCAAAAGAATGTCCTTGCTGCTTTAGGAATAGTGCCACAGGGTGTTTTGCGTCCACCTGTAAGAGTAAGGGAACCTTGGCTTTGAGTGTCATCTGGAAGATGGGGCTCATTCCTAAAACCTGACATAAAGACAAGAGCTCTACCAAAGTTGACACCTAGAATGGCTATTACAGTAAGTAAAAGTTCACCTCTGCATATATTTTGTGTCGTGCCTAACTAGATTTTAAAACACACGCTGAGTGAAATTAATCTGAGTTTTTGTTTTGAATACCTCCTTTCACATACCTATGGTTATAGTCAGACAGTATTTGTAGAATCAATTCCAACCCCACAGTGCCTGACTTATACTCTTAGGTGAGAAGCAAGCTTTGCATTTTTGCAATTTTTCAACTTCCATCATCTTATTTTCATACCTGGACTAAACCAGTTTAAAAAGAAACAAACAATCCTACAATGGCAGCAGAAATTACCTGACCACAGCCTCCGGCATGTTCAGTAAACCAATGTTGAACAAATGGAATCATCTGAACTGAAATCATTTATGTAAGGCACTGAAACCAGCTATTGCAGTTAGGCTTGAAGAAACCTGTATCTCCTGTTTTAATTAATACTTGTATGAGAAATTGCACACTTCAGACATGAAAACGTTGTCTGCAACTATCCTACTTGGAAAGGCAATCGAGCTAGACTCAGGAATACATCAATGAATGATATTTCAGTAACTACTTGGCAAAGCAGCAGACAGAAAGAAAGAAAATGGACGGGTAATAGCAGCGGCTAGAAAATTTTCTCCCTTCCTGTTTCCTTCTCATCTTCTCAAAAGTCAGCACCAGTAATAGAACAAGTCAGAGAAACATCCACGCACTGAGAACAAAAAAGGTTCTATAAATTTCACTACTGCTGAGGATATAAGACATCAACTAAACAGCCACAGTCTCAGGTTCCACCACAATAATTCAAGGAGTCTAAGAACTGTTTAAACTGCATTTTTTTTGTCTTCCTATTGTACTAGCTACTCTCTTCGTTTTAAACTTTATACATACATTTGGCATCACATTTTATTAGTTTTCTCAAGGTTAATAATTAATAAAATTCCTGTCTTTTACTCAAGAAAACCCTGCAATTGGCTTCTTAGATTCAATTGGTACTAGGTTTTAATGAAGTGTGATAATAGGTATGTGGTAAAAAGAATTAAAAACCTTTGTTATGGCTGACCAAGGAGGTTAAAAAGAAAGAAGTCAATTCACTCTTCTGTAACTGGTGATTCCAATACTAATTCTTTTGCACATGTATGCAACTACACTCCTTTCTGAGAAACATTGACCACATTGTGAGCAAAATATATGTTCAAGCGCTCAGTTCCTACTAAATACTGGTGTAAATGACTCATGGGAACACACATTTTTAAAAATTCTATATTTCTTCCTTTTTGCAACAAAATGAGTCGACCTTTCCATTAGCATTGTCTGTAATATCATCCCACTCTGCTCTTGCTTCATCTAAGTGACTAGAAACCTTCAATCATACTTTTATTAGTTTTAAACTTGACCACACCAACATAATCCTTGCCACTTTACCAAGTTCCACTCTATCCAAATCTAACATATTTCACACCAAGTCCTGTTCAACCATCACCCCTGTGCTTGCTCACATCGGTTTCTGGTTTAGCATTGTAATGTCCACTCTAAAATCCTGAGTTTTGTTTTCAAATTAACCATGACTTGGCCCCTCCCTATCTTCATAATCTCTTCCTAACCCTCAATGCTTTGAGATAGTTCATTCTGGCTTCTTGAGCATCCCTGATTTTAATTAATCCACCATTGGTGGTGGTAACTTCAGCAGACAAGGCTCTAACTCTTTGGAACTTTGTAGCTAAATCTTTCAGCCTCTTTTCTCTCCTTTAAAGACTCCTTAATACCGATCTCTGAGCTCTCACATGTTTAGTCATCTGTCTTGCTAGCTCTCTATTTGGGTTGGTGTGAAATTTTGTCACAATATTCTTATGAAGCATCTCAGGGCATTTCACTATGTCAAAGGTGTTTCAGTAAATACAAGTTGCTGTTACTGTAAAACTTCCTCGAAATTCGCAAATCGAGATTGAAAGAGCTGGAGACCTCAGCAGGTATGGTAACAGAAAGGGAATCGAAGGTGGAAATTATGAAAGTACTTGTAAATCCATCCCTTGTGTTGCCCCTCCCAATCTCTATAATCTCTTCTTGAGATACTGGTGTTCTTTACAATGATGTAGAATTGAAAACAAAGGAACATATTCTTTGCAGATTCTTTAAAATTGAAATGACAGGTGTTTTGAGACAATTTACAGACTCTTGTTTTTTTGATTTCTCTTATCAGTAACTAGGTTGCAACAAGTTGATACAAGATAGCTTCAATCTGGGGGATATTTGGTCCTACTGGGCTACAACTAAATGCAAACAACATCTTATTGTTCCACACTGAATTCTACTGGGCATGTGAATGTTCATGTGTTTAGCTGGAGCAAAACCTCAAAAATCCTTGTTAGATTTAGGGAGACAATGGGTATTAAATCCTCAAAAACTGCAGTTCATCTTGAATTTATCTTTAAAGAGAAGGTCTAGATTGAATGTGCTGGAGCTCGAATAGAGGATCAAAAGACAATACTACCACGTAGTCTACAGAAGGAATTATTGCTATCAGATGACATTGTGTGCTGTTTCAGTGGTTGCTAACCACATCAACAGCTTGCAGAGCTGGACCCAAGAACATAAACTATGAATTACTTTTAATCGATACACCGTACGCATGTTATTCTGACAGGATGGATCTGTACTTGCCCATGAACACATTTGCCAAGTTTTAAACTAGCCAGACATAAATTGTTAAAAAATTGTAATAAATAAATAAAATTACAGACATCATCCTTCTCTAGAAAACTGTCCTGTTGAATTATTAATTTAAAAAAATGCTTGTGTGGCACTGAACATCTTAACTTGGAAGATTGCAGATCTAATGTGTGGATTAAGTCTGTGCTGATTTAAATCAGAGATGTAGCAAAAGTAGGGTCTCTGTGACTGGACACTAAGTACAATCAAAGTGTCCCCATTGCTCTTGGATTTCTCAGCAGCTAATTTATAACGCAACCATTGCTGGGAGGGAACAACCAGTTGGATGTTTGGCTTCTGATTGCTCCCCACTTCTAATGAGTGAACATCAAGTGAGGAATGGAATCAGGCTTAGCTGCAATTATTACCACAGTCAAACAACATGTCAATAATCACTGTCGACACTCACATAGGAAAATTGACCATTTGAGGTAAATTACTAAATGAGGTATCCAGCACATATTCTACCTTCAGGAAAGGAGTGGGGACAAAAAAGCTTTCCTTATTTTTCATTCCTCAAATCTCTTCAGTTTGCCTGACACTGTCAGCTGATAAGTCAGCTGTTTTTATAACTTCCTGTACTGATAACGGCTGCAAGCTCATTGGTTGGACAGTTCATTACTGTGTGTATATGTTCAAATCTCCATGACTGAAATGATTCAGTACATAAATCAACGCCATTTTTGGCATTTAAAGAATGTGCAGACGTATACATCATTTACAGGAAGTCTATAATTCTCATATCTGTGGTGCAGATTACATTTAATGTCACTTTCTATGTGTATTTTATTCCCCAATTTGTCCCTCTTTGCCTACTCAATTGATCGTTCTCATTTATTGTGTGACTAGCAGCACAAACACACAAATGCTTTTTACATGGCAGTCATTGTAGGAACCAGTCATGCCTTGTGCATTTTTAGAATGAATGACCTTTAGAAGGTCAGGAGGACTTATATCTTCTTGCACATCTTTCCTCAATGTCAGCATGATCTGTCTGACAGCATAGTATTTATTTGTTAGTGTCAACTCTGCTGTGATAAAATAAAGTCAGCCATGGCTACAGCTTTCTTACAGTATATTGCAGTCACTTCAAAATGTGAAAAAACATGCAGTATGAAATCAAAAGGGAAACTGTTGTGGTTATCTCATGTTTCTGAGTATCTAAAGTTTCACAAAGTACAGCTGATTCAAATTAAATCAAAATCTTTTCAAAAATCCTATTTTTGTTAATTTTAACAGAAAAGCAAGCATGAGTAATATATGGTCATTGCTTGTGCGTAAATGTTTAATGCTGCTCTATATTTCAAACTCTTTCAAAATTGCGATAACAAATATTGCCAAAAAACAAGGGGGGTAAAGTCAATTGTTGATTACATCCATTAACTCCAGGTTACAGCTAGGATTAGAGATCATAGTCAGTTTGTATTTCCAAAGACCATCATTTATTTGTTACTTCAAGTAATAAGTTTCTCTGCAGTTGCACACTTAAAAATCCCCTTCCCCATCTCAAATCCTTTGTAATTTTGAACTTTTTTTGAAATAGCCTCAGTTCAATCTTGTCACTTCCTCTCATCAGATTTCCTACTGTGTTATATCCATGAATTTAGATGTTACAATTCAAAGCCAGGAAATGACTGAAGTGTGGTCTCAATATATTTACAAACTTCTTATTTTCACAGACATGCATTTCCATCATCTATCCAACAACCACACTTTTGATCTGATCATGGATAATGTTTCTACTTAGTTTTGTACTAGGGACCGTTCTCATTTGAAAAGAACCAGTACAGTACCTCTGATAATACCCACCATCTGAATATAATTAAACATCCACTTGATATGCAATTAACATGCCCCTTCAAGTTTGTAATGCATGCCAGCATTTATAAAACACTTCCATTCACTTTTTAATCAATTTTTCATCTCCTTTAGAGTTTTATGTATCTTTAGAACATTTTTTTGCATCCCTAACTTAAATTTCATATTCTGAACAGAATAACGAAATTAGAACAGTTTAACTAGAAACTGAGGAAACTTAACAAAAGAAATCAGAAGCTGATGCAAGTCACAGAAATGTACATCTCTATGTAGATAATTTATGGATTTTATTTTTCTCAGGAACTAAAGTTGCTAATGTTAAGAATAAAGTTTGAAATATACAAGGCATACAAAATTACCTATCTCCCAACAGGCTTATAATTACCGAAGCAACTATCTTTATGTTCTAATATACCATGATTGACTCATTTCTCCAGGAAACCTTTAGCCTCTGAGAAGCTTGCATAATCTGCCTCAGAAATCCATGACTATCAGCTGATAAAAGGTAGCAACACTTGTGTCTGCAATTCCTAAGATGCCACAATCTCAGCTTGTGCAATGTTGAGTATGTCTCAGCATGCATCAATCTGAATCCACGTGCAACAACGTGAAAGGTCTCTCTCCTTAGGCCATCCCAATCATTATACATTTGTTTTCCTGTCAGATTGGGAAATAAACTACAGCACAAGGCTTCAAGTTCTTTTTCGCAGAAAAAACAATTTCAAATCAGTTGGCTTTGTTCAAACAGACTGACAGAGAGATAAACAAAAACGATAGGTAACGGAGGATGACTGCAGCAGTCATCTCAATGGGAAATAAAATACGTCAGGGGCCTGATGACTCAATGTGCAATTATATTGCAGTGCTGAGTCACAGAGACCAAGAAGGTCCTATACTAGTCTCTGAACGACGTTGAATTAGTCAACCTCAGTGAGCAAAGAGGATTCTACATTATGCCTCATTATCTCCAAACAGGATAGGAACATTAGTCAGGAGGTTCCCAAACTACTGCACAGTAGAATGAAATCATTGGATGTTAGAAGAACGCAGCTGGCTGGTACTTATTTTTACATGAGCAATCCATGGTATTGCCAGTCTGCTCCACATATTTAAATTTCCTTCGAAAGAGTTTATGTTTTCTGCTTTAACAGCGTGTTCTGAGAATTTCACAAAGAAACCACTGTCTTCTCTTTGAGCACACAGACAGAATGGATCATCCAACTCATTTAAAAAAATCATGAGACAGCATAGGTAAGGTGAATAGCAAAGGGTTAAGAACTTTAAAACTAGAGGGCATAATTTTAAGGTGAAAAAGATTTAAAAGGGACCCAAGTGGCAATTTTTTCACACACAGGGTGATTCATATGTGGAATGAGCTGCCAGAGGAAGTGGTAGATGCAGGTACAGTTCTAACATTTCCAATTATTGGGAAGGTTTAGAGGGATATGGGCAGTCAAATGGGATTAGTTTAGTTTGGGAAACTTGGTCGGCACAGACGAATTAGACTGAAGGATCTGTTTCTGTGCTGTATGACTCTATGACCTGTTTTACTCCCTGCCCAATTTTAATTTTCCACGCTGGCAGATCTGATCCTGCTAATTTCCTGCTGGGTGGGTTACGTCAAAAAGCTTCCCTAAGTGACTGATTCCTTATGATTGCGGAACTGAGAGAGCAAATTGAAGTCAACACTAACCTAGAAATGACTAAAGCAGAAAAGGGAAGACTTATTAGTCATAGCATGATGGCACTGGGGTAAAAATAGTCATTATGGAAAAAATCGCAACTTACTGTGGATTTGGATGGCAGTGTTAGTCGTGTGGGTCCACCCTTCCTTTGCTGCAATGAAGAAAAATAATTTCACATGAATGAAGAGATATTTCATTCAGACATGACTGAAACACTTTGAACACTAAGGAGGTGGCAACGAAGGTGGCGGATGGGTAAATAAATGGGCAAAAAAGAAACAAAACGGCATATGCTGGAAATCAGAAACAAAACAGAAATTGCTGGAAAAACTCAACAGGTCTAGCAGCATCTGTGGAGAGAAAGCAGAGTTAAATGCTTTGGGTCCAGTGTCCATTCCTCAGAATGAGCCAGCTCCATGAGGCTGTGAGCCTTTGGGTGGCAATCTCACGTTGAGCCGGACTTTAGTGGCGAGGATCCTGGTCAAGAAGCTCATTAGTTAACACCTAGGTACTTAATTGGTGCTTGATCTGGAGACCTCTCACTGGTGGGGGCAGGGAGGTAGTCACCCCTGAAGTCACTTGACCCAACATTTAGTGCACAGAGCACTAAAACCAAGCTCGGAAGTATTTTGTACACTCTGTTCTTAAGGAAGCGTCTCATTATTTGCACCATATAACTTGAGTGATGACTTGAGAGACTGGGAAAGTGTACTTATAGCTGGCATTAATTAAGGTCATGTTAAATAGTTGCTGAGGAGGTCCTGTGGCACAATGGATATGTTATCTTCTATATAAATTTTAACTAGCTTTAGTTTCTCAAGTCCTACTTCTGGAGTTCAAACTGCTTTCTTACAAACTCTTTATTTACAGCATAATAAATACACATATTCTCTAAGACTCTGGTAAAACTTCTGACTCTTTTCAGGCCTGAACTTGATCACATGACACTGACACCATTATTATACATTCTGATGTCTTATTATCCTTTGTAGGTATTGTCTCTATCTTAGAGTCAGAACCTCTGGGTTTGGAATCCCATGCTAGGACTTATTGGCCAAGAAAGGCATGATCATAACGCTAAAGAGATTAAGCATCAATTTGCAAGTCCTTCTAACACAGACCAAAAGCAGGAGGCCAGCCATGTGTTGTGCACTTAAAGCCTCTACCATCGTTATCCCCAACTTCAGACAATAACATGCCTGTAAAAATGTACATTGACACAGCCACTTGGACCATCAAACAATTATTTGGCAAAAAAAAAAGCTCTTATCTGTGATATTGCTCATCTCAATAAAGAATGACATTTTAACACTGGACATTCAACATCAGTTATTATTAATGTCAGAAATAGAATAACGCTTCTTCTGCCTTGCCCGAAAATCTAAGATTAAATCCAAAGCAACATTTCCATTTGCCTCATCAGTCAGATTTGTAGACCTTTCAGTCATTGTTAAATATTGAATTATGGCTGGTAGAACTCCTCAGGTTGTCGGAGGGAACTACATATTTCTGAAGGAGAGGGAAACAAGTTAAGAAAATTTTAAATAAAAACCAAAAGAACTGCAGATGCTGTAAACCAGAAACAAAAACAGAAATTGCTGGACAAGCTCAACAGGTCTAGCAGCATTTGTGGAGAGAATTCAGAGTTAATGTTTTGGATTCTGAGGGACACTCAACCCAAAATGTTAAATCTGATTTCTCTCCGCAGATGCTGCCAGACCTACTGAGCTCTTCCAAGAAAATTTTAAACACTTCCCAGCTTCAAACATTACTGAGTAGTTTTGGAAACACATAGCCTGATAACTCAGGTTGAGATTTGATCACAAGGACATTAGAAACAGAGAATACTCAGTAAGAGTGAAATTAACTTTGAAATGAAACATACCAGCTCCTTTAGTTCCCTTTGTCTGTCACAGAGCTGTTCATACATTTTCTTTCCAACATCTGTGCTTTCCAACGTGGAGATAATTTGAAGTTGTGTGTCATTGTTGTCGATAATGTTATACTCGAGCATCAAACACAGGATCTAGTGTTTACAGAAATTGAAGAGTATTTTGTCAATTTAAATGTTACACCAAAAAGTGACATCCCATTCCACTCCCCCTTTCCCTCTCCTCCCCCATCTCCTTCCTCCCCCAAACCAAATGTGTTAGTGGCTCCATAGTTCCTTTGTGGAACAAGGAAGAACACTCCTGCTCCTCCCAACTTTGGAAAAAGACAATGTTTCATTTTCTGGGGGTCTTTTTTGTAGCAGTACCTTTAAGCATCCCTGCCAATGCTGCTTAAGATCCAGTACAAATGGACAAATCTGTTGTGGTACCTCTTTGTTTAAAGAATCAACTCAACATTTGGTTCAGATGAGTGCCATTGGTAACTAAAAGTTGTCTAATTTAACATGGAGGCCAAAGAATGACACAAGGAAGTTGTCATCCAATCAGGGCAGTTTCTTTCCACATTTTATGCCCATAATTTACCCTGTCACCCAGATTCTTAACATTAAATGCAGGGGAATATGAATACATCTCTCATTAGGTCATCCGTACATACTTTTCTGCTAAAGTAGGAATTGATTCCTCATGTTGCTGCTCAGGGAATGTCATATAACAGGAGTTATGGAATGTGACAGGGAATGTATGGCTTGAAGGTACAGTTGTGTTCCTCCACATTCAGATTAGATGATGTGATGTGAAGTGGTACAGAGGTCAGGGTGCAACATAAAGGCATTGAAATATTCATTTTACAACAACTTGCATTTGTATGGCAAAAAACTTCTCAAGTTGCTTCAAGGGAGTGCTAGTAAACAAAATTCAACACTGCCATATAATGAAATGTGGGATTACTACAAGCATGGTCAAATATGGAATATTTAAGGAACATCTTAAAAGAGGTGAATGAGGTTGAGAAGCTAATAGGTTTAGGGAGGCTTAAGAGCTTAAGTCCTAGACAGTTGAATGCACAGCCACCAGCAGAGAAGCCTGGAATTTCCTGGAATCCCATCGTTAATGGCATTGTGGGTCAAAGTCCAGCAGGTGGACTGTGGCGGTTCAAGAAGGCAGCTCACCATCACCTTTTCGAGGGCATCTAGGGATGGGCAATAAATGCTGGCCAGCCAGCGATGCCTACATCCGACAAATGAATTTTTTATAAAGTCATTAAACTCAGGGGTGGACATAGATCATAGAACATTACAGCGCAGTACAGGCCCTTTGGCCCTCGATGTTGCGCCGACCTGTGAAACCAATCTGAAGCCCATCTAACCTACACTATTCCATTATCATCCATATGTTTATCCAATGACCATTTAAATGCCCTTAAAGTTGGCGAGTCTACTACTGTTGCAGGCAGGACATTCCACGCCCTTACTACGCTCTGAGTAAAGAACCTACGTCTGACATCTGTCCGATATCTATCACCCCTCAATTTAAAGCTATGTCCCCTCGTGCTAGCCATCACCAACCGAGGAAAAAGGAGCCCACCCTATCTAATCCTCTATCATCTTGTATGTCTCTATTAAGTCACCTCTTAACCTTCTTCTCTCTAACGAAAACAGCCTCAAGTCCCTCAGCCTTTCCTCATAAGACCTTCCCTCCATACCAGGCAACATCCTGCTAAATCTCCTCTGCACCCTTTCCGATGCTTCCACATCCTTCCTATAATGCGGTGACCAGAACTGTACGCAATACTCCAAGTGCGGCCGCACCAGAGTTTTGTACAGCTGCAACATGACCTCATGGCTCCGAAACTCAATCCCTCTACCAATAAAACCTAACACACCGTACGCCTTCTTAACAACCCTATCAACCTGGGTGGCAACTTTCAGGGATCGATGCACATGGACACCGAGATCTCTCTGCTAATCCACACTACCACGAATCTTACCATTAGCCCTGTACTCTGTATTCCTGTTACTCCTTCCAAAGTGAATCACCTCACACTTTTCCGCATTAAACTCCATTTGCCACCTCTCAGCCCAGCTCTGCAGCTTATCTATGTCCCTCTGTAACCTGCAACATCCTTCCGCACTATCCACAACTCCACCAACTTTAGTGTCATCTGCAAATTTACTAGCCCATCCTTCTACACCCTCATCCAGGTCATTTATAAAAATGACAAACAGCAGTGGCCCCAAAACAGATCCTTGAGGTACACCACTAGTAACTGAACTCCAGGATGAACATTTCCCATCAACCACCACCCTCTGTCTTCTTACAGCTAGCCAATTTCTGATCCAAACTGCTAAATCACCTTCAATCCCATGCCTCCGTATTTCCTACAATAGCTTACCATGGGGAACCTTATCAAACGCTTTATTGAAATCCATATACACCACATCAACAGCTTTACCCTCATCCACCTGTTTGGTCACCTTCTCGAAGAACTCAATAAGGTTTGTGAGGCACGACCTACCCTTCACAAAACCGTGTTGACTATCCCTAATCAAATTATTCCTTTCTAGATGATTATAAATCCTATCTCTTATAATCCTTTCCAACACTTTACCCACAACCGAAGTAAGGCTCACTGGTCTATAATTACCAGGGTTGTCTCTACTCCCCTTCTTGAACAAGGGGACAACATTTGCTATCCTCCAGTCTTCTGGCACTATTCCTGTAGACAATGATGACATAAAGATCAAAGCCAAAGGCTCTGCAATCTGCTCCCTAGCTTCCCAGAGAATCCTAGGATAAATCCCATCCGGCCCAGGGGACTTATCTATTTTCACACTTTCCAGAATTGCTAATACCTCCTCCTTATGGACCTCAATCCCATCTAGGCTAATAGCCTGTATCTCAGTATTCTCCTCGACAACATTGTCTTTTTCCTGTGTGAATTCATTTAGCACCTCTCCTATCTCTTTGGACTCCACGCACAACTTCCCACTACTGTCCTTGACTGGCCCTAATCTTACTCTCGTCATTCTTTTATTCCTGATATACCTATAGAAAGCTTTAGGGTTTTCCTTGATCCTACCTGCTAAAGACTTCTCATGTCCCCTCCTGGCTCTTCTTAGCTCTCTCTTTAGGTCCTTCCTGGCTAACTTGTAACTCTCAAGCGCCCTAACTGAGCCTTCACACCTCATCTTTACATAAGCCTCCTTCTTCCTCTTGACAAGAGATTCAACTTCTTTAGTAAACCATGGTTCCCTCGCTCGACCACTTCCTCCCTGCCTGACAGCTACATACTTATCAAGGACACGCAGTAGCTGTTCATTGAACAAGCTCCACATTTCAATTGTGCCCAGCCCCTGCAGTTTCCTTCTCCATCCTATGCATCCGAAATCTTGCCTCATCGCCTCATAATTGCCTTTCCCCCAGCTATAACTCTTGCCCTGCAGTATATACCTATCCCTTTCCATCGCTAAAGTAAACGTAACCGAATTGTGGTCACTATCACCAAAGTGCTCACCTACCTCCAAATCTAACACCTGGCCTGGTTCATTACCCAGTATCAAATCCAATGTTGCCTCGCCTCTTGTTGGCCTATCTACATACTGTGTCAGGAAACCCTCCTGCACACATTGGACAAAAACTGACCCATCTAAAGTATTTGAACTATAGCGTTTCCAGTCAATATTTGGAAAGTTGAAGTTCCCCATAACAACTACCCTGTTCCTTTCCCTCCTATCCAGAATCATCTTTGCAATCCTGTCCTCTACATCTCTGGAACTTTTCGGAGGCCTATAGAAACCTCCCAACAGGGTGACCTCTCCTTTCCTGTTTCTAACCTCAGCCCATACTACCTCAGTAGACGAGTCCTCATCAAACGTCCTTTCTGCCACCGTAATACTGTCCTTGACTAACAATGCCACACCTCCCCCTCTTTTACCACCTTCCTTGATCTTGCTGAAACATCTAAACCCCTAAAAACAACTAAAAGATCAGAATTGGAGGAGCACAGAGATGTTATAGCATTGTAGGCCTACAGGAGATGTCAGAGATAAACAGGGGTAACGCCATGGAGAGATTTATAAACAACAAGGAAAATATTAAAATTAACTTGGACTGGAACCCAATGAAAACAACTGAACACTGGATGATGGGTTAGTGGGAATTAGTGTCAGTTAAGATATAAATAGCAGAATCTTGGATAATGTTGGGAACTTTGAGTTTGGGGGTGTGGGAAGTGAGATATGAAGCTGTCCAGACACCAACGGAACATGAAATCAAGGGGTAACAAAGGTGAGGGTTTCTGCACCAGATGAGCTGAGGCAGGGGTGAAGTCAAGTAGCACTTCAATGGCTTTGGAAACCCGGTTTTGACTGCAGAAGGGAAATGTGGTGAGAAACTCTTTGTGAGGTCAAATATAACAGCAAGGTTGTGAATGGTGTTGTTCAGTTTCCAAAATGGTTGCCAGGGAGAGGGATGTAGTCAGTGGCTGAGGAATGAACTTTGCACTGGGGCCTGAAGACAGTGGTTACAGTCTTCCCAAAAATTTAGCTGGACAACATTTCTGGCAGAAAATCAGAACCCAGAATCAAACTGTTGGGATTCTCACTCACTTTTTGTTTTTAAGTAGTGGTTGCCCAAGATTACTTTTTAAAGCAGACAATCTGACTGTTCTGTTAATCTCTGGACTTGTTCCGCTTAACCTACAAATGCAGTTTCTTTTCTCTTTTCGAAAGAAAAACTCAAGGTTATGAACTACATTTTCACATGAGCCAATTACTTGAAATATATTAGCCTAGAATAAACTTGTCTATAATTAAATAAAATGAATAGAAATGCATGTTCGTATATCATTTCTAGAGCAAAATTGAAGAACAAACTGACAAGTAGAGAGACATTCGTACACCACAGCCTTTTACATGTAGTGTAAATAAAAATGAACTATTTAATATAAGCTTGATACTATTGCCATTGTAACTTTTCACATCCTTCCATCTACTTCAACCAGATGCAGTCAATTCTTCATCCAAGTTTATTAATGGGTGTCCACAGAGACTTTTTAAAATAGGATTTGACAGCAAGCAATTATAATGAGAGCAACTGCTAATATCAGTTGTATGACCAACTTTCCCTTCAAATTGGAATTTTTCAATGACACTCTCTTGAAATGCCCGCTCATGAGGAGACCAATGTTCACAGTACATTATATCGTTTGCTTTGCATGACCAGTAGGCAAATAATATTTTCAAACAGGCTTTCGCAGTATTTTGGACAGTACATATTATTCACAAAAAAACAAACTCCTGGCAGTGAACTCACTGTTGTGATTCGGTCTCTGGGGCAAGCTGAGCTTCACTTGCACAGTTCATGAATGTCATCAGAAATCCTCAACTGAATTACAGCATTTTGATTCACTGCCAGCTACCAATTATAATATATTTAATGACAGTCATTGGAGTACAAGACTGTAGCAGCTTGGATTTCAACAGACTGACTATTCTGTTGTCAGTACCTACCCCCCTCCCCGGGTCCTAACAATAACATTCTGTGCAATCTGCAGAAATTTTCTCTTATTTTCTCTGATTATTCGTTGCTTCTGCATTTGGATCCAGTAATCTGTTCATTGTCAAACTGTCTAAACAGTATGCTAAGTAAATGTAAGATTTAACTGAGACACAATCCTTACAAACAACACTGTTGTTAGGGGTGATACTTCACTGCAGTACAGCTCTCAAGTCCAGAAAGTTTTACTTCATAAACAGGCATTGAATCACTTACCCACTCCTATAAAACTAAATTAGAAAGTAAAAGAATGTTTATTGTCTGAACATCTTGGCCCTATTTAAAAATCTGATTCTTTTCAAGTCAGGCGTCAATATAACTTCACACTTGCCCAGATTTACAAATTGAAGAGCTGCTCTGTTCTAGTGAACTCCCTCAAAAATCAAAATGACTCTCTGGGTCAAGGAAGTCTGCTTTAATGAAGCTTCTTTAGACCTTTGACAAACTGAGGTGCCTCCTAACCCTATGGTCCCTGAGCATCTTAGTGGGAAGATAGGTGCCTCAGAGCAGTTTGGGGGTGGGAGGAAGAAGAAATGGTCACATACTTTTGACATTATAAAACCTATACAGGAATATATCTAAAAAGTGAATAAACCCATTGAAACTATATACAGACTGTCAAAGTTGTCAAATAGTTGTCAGAACTGTCACAAGAATTTGAACATCAATTCTGTTTTCATAAGAGATTAGTTACAGGAATTTTAATATTTTTTAACAACTGGAGTATTTTGTTGAATTATTATATCAATAGACACATCGATCTATTTTATGTCAGCAGAGTTTCTGGGGTTTCATGATGATGGATACCAGGTGAGTTGGCATGGGGACAGATGGTGGCATGCTTTGGCACAGTTAACAAAGGCTATAAGAGGCTGCGTGAGGGGCACAGGAGTTGTGAGGGGCCAAGTGCCTACGAAGTGAGTCATTTGGTGGGAATAAAGAGACTGGAGTGCTTAGGGGGCACAGGGTGGCATGGAGTTACGAGGTGGCATCAACTTGGCCTGGGGTGGGGTGTGTGGTGTGAGAGGAAGGGGAGGCATGAGAGAGACGATGATGGCTGAAGCGATGTTTTGGGTTTTATCCTTTTTTTAATATTAAATTGCATACACAGTGTCAACGCATGGAAGCAGCAGGTACGCCCAACCCAAATTTGCAGCCAGTGGCCTCCAAACTTATTTGGAGGTTTCCCGGCCTAGCAGCCAAGTGACATCATAGCCCTGAAGTGTAAAACCGATCTTCTATGGAACTTTGACCAGAAACTGGGAAAATGTTCCATCTCTGTACCCAAAGGGAAAGCTGGGGCCATTGTGCCTACTTCAGAGAGCTCAACTCATAACTTGAGATTCAGATTTGAAACGTCAACATCTAGGAAAGGGATTCCCCCTCCACCAACTGGTCTGGAAGCAGATGGCACTAACTGAGAGATTTCTTTCTGAAATGTTCAAAGCTGTTCCCATCAGGCTGGAGCTGGATCCATGAAGGTATCTTAAAAACAAAATCTCTGGCTGTCTCAAACAACAAAAGACAATAAAGACCATGTTGGAGAGAATAAAAAGTGCAGTATCAGTCTATAACACAAATCCAGTTTGCATGTTACTGTTTACAAGGGGTTTCATAGAATCCCTACAGTGTGGAAACAGGCCATTCGGCCCAACAAGTGCACATGGCCCCTCTGAACAGCATCCCACTCAGACCCATTCCCCATGTCTAACCCACTCAACCTAAACATTCCGGGGCAGTATGGGCAATTTAGCATGGCCAATCCACCTACTCTGCACATCTTTGGACTGTGGGAGGAAACCGGAGTGCCCGGAGGAAACTCCACACAGACAGTCGCCCAAGGCTGGAAGCGAACCCAGGTCCCTGGTGCTGTGAGGCAGCAGTGCTAACCACTGTGCCACCGTGCCGCCCCGTAGGTTATTTCATAGGACATTAATTACATTTCACTGGCCAATCAAAATAATTTATAGTGGCTTGAAAGCGGAGAATTTTTACTGGGAAAGTAAGTTTTACCTTCCTTTCTAACTGTTATGAAACAAAGACTTACATATAAAATGTGATGTTGCCTATGACAACCGAAACAAAATATTGATGCAATATGCAGTTAGGATAAATGCAGAGTTCATGAGATTACATAACCCATTGCAATGTGGGAGTCTTACCTCTACCATTGTTTGATTTCCTCTCAAAGCCAGCAACATACATGGCCCCAGTTTGTTCTCAGCCAGTGAAAGCAGGAACTTCTTTGTCTTATAACAGGAACCCATTAAAATGTGCACCTGAGGAGAAAAAAAAAATGACTGTACTTGTGTGACAAGCAAACTATCACAATGCATACACAGACATTTGCAATTTTTCTATTTTCATTGGGATGCCGGGGTGGAATGTGATGTTGGTAATGCCAGAAGAGCTGGCAAGAGCCTAGCACTGCCTACATTCCAAAAGGCTGATTGAACTAAGTGCTGATCGGATGTTTTTCTACTCCCAAGAGTTGCTGGCCAATCAGAGTTGGCTTCTGGTGTATTTCTGCTCCGTACTGCCACCAGGCAGGCATTGGCTGCTGTCACTAGTGCACATACCCACCAAGGCCCAGAGTGCAAAGTGAGTCAGGCCGCAGGTGGGTGATGACAGAAGGACGTGTCGTGGGGGGAGGTGAGAAAGGGAATCTGCAGCAAAGTTTATCAGCAACTCCCACTTCCTGATCCCTAGATCAGACTCTGAGAGCCTAACAATGAAGGAAGCTCTGGAAGCTCTCAGGTAAATCCAACAGGGTTTGCTTCTCAGATTTCGCCTAGGTTACGCCTCCACCCAAAATTCATTCCGCACGTAAAGGGCCACAGTGGTAGTGGGGGGCGGGTGGGAAGGCTGAGCACTACAGACCCCAGACTTGGTCAATGTAGAGGCAAAAAATCAGCACAGTCCCCATCTAACACCCTCTCACTCAGTAGGTTCTTCCAATGCTACCACTTCACTGGATAGGCCAGGGGTCATTTACTTCTGACCATACAATTCAGAGACAATTAAGTAGCACATGTGCCACGCACCAATAGCTATAGTTTGCATTTCTTGACCCCGTATGGCATGTTTTAAATCTCGGAAGGGCCTCAAAGAAGCACAGAGGGAAGGCAAAAGCACCTGAGGACCTTCGCTACTCCACTGTGTCCTCCCTCTTCTGGGCCCAACCTGCATCTCCCCTGCCTTATCCCAGGAGTGACAGAGAAAATGAAACTGTAATGACTAGCAATCTAGAATCCCTCATCGGCCACATTTACTTTAATACTGGCAGCAACCCAAGTATGGAGTGTGGAATGCTGTGAGATTTCATAAACCTACAATTGCATAGGATAGGCAGCATAGAAACAGGCCAGTGGATCTGACTAATCCATGCCAGTGTTTATGTTCGACTTAAATCCCATTGGGGCGGCTTGGTGACTCAGTGGTTAGCATTGCTGCCTCACAGCACCAAGGACCCAAGTTCAATTCCACCCTTGGTGACTGTCTATACGGTGTTTGCATGTTCTCCCTCTGTCTGCATGTGTTTCCACGAAGTGCACCAGTTTCCTCCCACAGTCCAAGGATGTGCAGGGCAGGAAAATATATCACTGTAAAAGTGAATTTCAATTTGAATTTTCTTGCTCAATAAATCCTTTACTATTTTGATAATTCAAGGCATTTGCACTGTGCAAAGCTCTTTGCCATATCTGCAAATAAACAAACAAATATGCAAGGATGAAACAGATCAATGACACTTGTTCTTGGCTTAAAGGAATGTTATTCGAATCTTTCTCCCAGAAAAAAAACAGAAAGAGGATCATGTGGCAGTGTCCTTCCTTATCTCCTTCACCTGGTCAAATCAGGATTACAAGAATTCCATCAGGGAAGCCTAAGCTGGCTCATTGGATCTGCCGGAGATTGACTGTGGAAGCCAAATAGTTCAACTAAAGTTCAGACAAAATGACATCATGTGAAAGCAACCCTGGAACTTGCCTATGACAACAAACACAATGGTCCCATTTATCCACTGCACTTCAATCCCTCAAGCTTTTCATAACATAGCTGCAAATTTGAATATGTGGCGAATCTTCAACTGGAAGCCAGAATGTAAAATTACTTACTCAAATTAAAGGCCAAGTAATATTTATCACTCTTAGTTCTTCCCGTAAGCCAGGGCCATAAAACAGATATTTGCAACAGGCTGCTATAAGGCATGCGTCATCCAAGAAATTTAAAACCTCCTAACACAGAAACTAACTTGGAGCAGTTGTCTATCTAAAGCCTGGGGAATAATTAAATTATTTTATGCATTTGGACTTAAACTCACTGGGAGGTCTGGTGTAGTTGAATCTGCTGCAATGGAACCACATACAATAGTTCAATCAATGCAGAGAGCAAAGCGAGAGGTATGATAGTAAGTATCACGTAGAGGATCAGGCAGAGGAACCGTGGTGTAAGTAGAATACAGAGTATTAGGTCTGCTGCCAGGTAACTTCAGCATAGTTGTAATCTATACCCAAGTGAGATTTGAAGTGAGCTCTTGATAATGAAATAAATATAAACCCTTTCTGTTCTCGGCAAGATTCCACTCAGAGTTAGACTTTAACTGGTTTAAAAGGAGTCTGAGCAGCACAAAAGTGGCTTGCCGTTTGTTGCAAATGTGGTTGGCACTACCTTTTAAGTATCTAATCTGTGGGTTGCTAAAGAGCCCATCTGTTTCAGATATATAACAACAATAATATGCAAACTGGGTTCCTACAGAGGGCACCAAATATTAACTTAGGATATCAATGAACTAGAAAATTACTTTTTTGGGAGGGCCCAGGAGTATGAGCATTTGTGCTTCAAATAAAGTTGTTTCTGTCTCATCTGATACCCCTTTCCCCAAAGAACAGGCACCTCTTAACCTGTCAATAGGTCAGGCCTCTGGAATACCCACCATTTGTTTCTCAACCACCCCAGGGTTTTCCAATGAATATGGTTTGGCCCTTAAAGTGGACTGGACATTCCTTGACACCATCAGATGAAAGGCACCCTCTGACCAGTCTGACAGCCAAAATCCTTTGCCAGAGGGGTCTGCTGGAGTACTGGCTAAACTGTTCTCAAAAATATGGTTGCAATGGACAAGGATGTTGGACAGAAGCAAATCGAGGATTAAGATCATAAACTTAGCAGAGAAGAGATAGAATCATAGAATCCCTACAGTGTGGAAGCAGGCCATTCAACTCATTGAGTCCACACCAATCCTCCAAAGAACATCCCCCCTTCCCTAGCCTTGTAACCCAGCATTTTCCTACGGCCAATCCACCTAGCCTGCACATCCCTGGACTGTGGGAGGAAGCCAGAGCACCCCGTGGAAACCCATGCACACACGGGGAGAACGGGAAAACTCTACACAGACAGCTGCCCAAGGGTGGAATCGAACCTGGGTCCCTGGTGCTGTGAGGCAGCAGTGCTAATCACTGAGCCACTATGCCACCCCAATGGGACTCAAGTCGAACATAAACACTGGCATGGATTAGTCAGATCCACTGGCCTGTTTCTATGCTACCTATCCTATGCAATCCATATGTACAAGTACAGTTTGGAAACTGCTTCACATCTAACTGAAATGAATCACGACAGTGTGCTGACAGGAAGCATGTTAAATTACAATTAATCTGCTTACAGTGGGACTATTAGAAGCAAACATATTGGACACAAAAAAAAACTATCATTCATTTCCAATAGATGAAAGAGAAGGAGAGGGGAAAGTTTTTGATTATTTACTGCATAGAATATTGCATAACTTCATACAATTTTAACTCCATTTAAGCAACATATTGTTATCTTAGATTTATTTATAACATAAACAGAAGATATTAACTCACATTATTGCAAACACGTACCATACTGGCAAAAAGCTCCCCATCATCATCACAGGCGACTCCTCCTGGACTGTAGAGCTGGAACCAACCATCTTTGCCAGCTCGAACACTCAACAAGCAGGAATGGACCTGCCAGAATACAATTGATCAGCTTGAGTGCCGTGCCTTGTATTTAAAGCATGCTCAGTGACCCATATTACATGGGTACAGGATGACTTTTACTTATCCAGAAATCCAGTTTTAAATGCAGGTCAATTTAATATTTTCACAATCAATGAATCAGTCATTCTGTGTACAGGACCTCATTTAAAGCGAGGAGTTGTGGGCAAATGAATGACTTTACTTCAGTGCAATTTTAGTTTAAAAAATAACATGAAATGAATAATTGCTTCATAAAGACATACAAACACACATACACATATGATAGAGATATATATATATGTTTATACACACACAGAGATACAGACACACACACACACCATAACTGTCATCATGTAATTGGGACATTATTTTGCAGAGGTGGGGCAAAAATGTTCAAGTAAATTGCCAAACCTAGTTCACAAAAGGACATATTAAGCACTGTGAAATCAGATATTAATCTGCCCATCTGAATTAACCAAAAAACATGGATGCATTAAAAGGTCAAAAACTACAACATGACTCACATTGTAACACTAACCAATATGCTTCGAGTTAATAGCTTGATTTGTTGTTTTGTTTTTGTTCCATGTTTTCATTATGGTCTACTTCTTGGATAATCAATGATCCTCATGTTCAAACCAACCCCCAAAGCAATAGTTAATTTTCTATACCTATATCAAAGATAACTATTCCATAATTCACCAAAATTCCTCAGAGAGCACCACCAACACTCACAACCACTACCATCTGGAAGGACAAGTGCATCTCAAAGATGGGAACACCACTGCCTGCAAGTTCTCTTCCAATTCATGCACCATCCTGACTTGGAAATATATTGCCGTTCTTTCATTGTTACTGGGTCAAAATCCTAGAACTCCCCCACTAACAGAATTGTGGGTCTACCTGCATCATTTAGACTGCAACAGTTCGAGATAGCAGCTCACCACCACCTTCTCAAGAGTAAGTAGGGATGGACAATAAATGCTGGCCCAATCAGTTATGTCCAGATCCCATGAATGAAAACAAAAACAAAACAAATAAAAGTTAGTCCTTATGATCAGTGTGACAAAAATCTGAGGTCAACTGCTACCAAAATTTTCAGTTGTTCTGTAAATATGGCAATGGTTTTGGTTGATCATCAAAGCCTGGCTCTACTTAATAGGTGAGGAGTGGATAGCCTGGTTAATTTGTCTGCCTCCCTATCCCAGCAATATGAAAATAAATTGTGAGATAGTAGGAACTGCCGATGCTGGAGTCTGAGATGACGAGGTGTAGAGCTGGATGAACATAGCAGGCCAAGCAGCATCAGAGGAGCAGGAAAGCTGACGTTTCGGGTCTGGACACTTGTTCAGAAAAAAAAAAGGGTCCAAACCCGAAACGTCAGCTTTCTTGCTCCTCTGATGCTGTCTGGCCTGCTGTGTTCATCCAGGTCTACACCTTGTCATCTGAAAATAAATTGTAGCCTGTCTGATGCCAATCAGCTAACTCAGAGACCGAGATTGGATGGCGCATTCAAAAGATATATACTCCAAAATTTATCTCGAAGATAATGGTAAGACGAAGAGCACTTTGCTATTTACGGGAAAATTGAAACAATTGAAGTGAGTGCAGATGCAGGGTTAAATATAAAAATATGGGAGTCAATGTTCAAGCTGCTCAACTGGCCTGTAAACTGTACATGTTCAGCGAGGCATTCCTGAACTGCTGTCATAAATGCAGACTAAACTCACCACAAATACATAAGGCAGTAACTATTTCAATCTAAACCAAACAACCCCTTTGTCACTGAAAATCAGCTTTTAAAAGTTTGAAATCTGATTTCTTCAGCTTTCAATTGTTGCCATGATTTGTTTCGTCCTTGTTTCTTCTCTCTTCTCACTCTTCATTTAATATTTTCTTCTCTTTATATCTTTCTGCGCCTGATTTGACGTTAAGTTCACTTGTCAATGTCAATTCTTTGTTTTGAGTCCATGCTGTTCATGAATAATATTTCAAGCTGGAAAAACAGAAGTTGCTGGAAAAGCTCAGCGGGTCTGGCAGCATCTGTGAGGAGAAATCAGAGTTAACGTTTCGGGTCCTCAGAACCTTCTGAGGGAGGGTCACCAGGCCGGAAACTTTAACTCTGATTTCTCTTCACAGATGCTGCCAGGCCTGCTGAGCTTTTCCAGCAACTTCTGTTTTTGTTTCTGATTTACAGTATCCGCAGCTCTTTTGGTTTTTAATTTAATTTTTCAAGCTGGTTGAATAAGAGTAGGGACAGTAGTTTTTCTTGAGCATACAATTTCATGTACAGCACGCTGAAAATATGATCACTCCCAGTGCCCGTTTCTAGTGACAGTAGAAATCGGAGAATATGAAGTAGATTAAAAGTAGATATGGTGCAGGAGGAAAGTCCTTATATTTGTTCGGCATTAACAGCTGTGGGGCAGTAGGACCTGTTCCAAAGGCAAGTTTCTTCTTGATCAGACCTGGAACCAATATCATTCTGGAAAGGTAAACTAATGCATTGGAAAAGAGCGTAAACTAATTTGTTAGGTGGTTGGGTAATGAGGTGTAGCATTTAAAAATAGAAACTAAACATACTGATGGACAGAGTTAGAATAGATGAGAGCACTGAAAATATTAAGAGGTCTAAACTTAGGTTTGGAATACATTTATGTAAATACATGATATAGTTAATGCACCCAGGCAAGTCATGAAAATAATACACAACAACATCATAATGCTCTGTATACTTGGGTTAAAATATCACTCTTATTAATGAAATACTCAATGCTACATTCTCTCTTTGAGGTCTCTTGTGACACAGTATTAGTGTCCCTACCTGTGGGCCAGAAGGTCTGAATTTCAAATCCCACCTGCCCGGAAGTTTGCATAACAGGCCCAAACAAGTTGATGTTGAAAAAATTGGTTGGCATGTTCAAGCTCAAGCTTACCTCCATGATGGTGAGCAGCAGTGAAAACACCATCATTTTCTGGATGTATCATAGAGTCATAGACCACTGAAACAGACCCTTTGGTCCAACTAGTCCATGCCAAACATAATCCCAAACTAAACTAGTCCTACCTACCTGCACCTGGCCCATTTCCCTCCAAACCTTTCCCATTCATGTACTTATGCAAATGTCTTTTAAACATAATTGTACGCACATCCACCACTCCTTCAGGAAGTTCATTCCACATGTGAATCATCCTGTGTGTAAAAGATTTGACCCTCATGTCTTTTTTAAATCTCTCTCCTCTCACCTTAAAAATATGCCCCCAGTCTTGAAATCCCACATTTTAGGGAAAAGCCAACTACTATTAACCCTATCTATTGCCCTCATTATTTAATAAACTTCTATAAGGCCACCTCTCAACCTCCTACGCTCCAGTGAAAACAGTCCCAACCTACCCAGCGTCTCCTTATAACTGAAATCTTCCATACCCGGCAACATCATGGTAAATCTCTTCTGAACCCTCTCCAGCTTAACAATATCCTTCCAATAACTGGGTGACCAGAACTGGACATGTTACTCGCCTTATTTTAAGCTAACCTGCACCTTTAAAGAGGACAGTGTTTGTGATTGCAGCAGGTGCAGGGAGTCAGATGATTGCTGAATCTAATCTGGGAAAAACAGGATGGCTAAACATGGGAAAGAGCAGTTGCACAATGTTTTCCAGTGCTGCCACAACTTTTCGTGCAGAAACAGCAAAGACAAAAAGTCGTCCTGTATCCATAGGGGTCAGGAAGTCCTCTGAATACACAGCGAGGAGGCAGGGGATGCAATTGGCTTTGAAGGAATAGCTAAAACCTAGAAAACAGTTGTGGTGAATCACTTTTTTAAAAAAGACTGGTTGGCAATCTTCTCAGGGCATTGGCAAGTTGGCGCATATAGTAGATGAAGGTCAACACAGAAGATTGAGGGCTGATCTATTGGTAGAAAGTTTTCAAAGAGATTGTAAACATTCAAAGTTTTGGCGTTTGCGCAAATTCTTGAAGGTGGTGGATCAGTTAAACAAGCTAACTAACAATGTAGGATGCAGTGTGTACAAATAAAGACATAAAATACAAAAATTAGGAAGTCGGTCATTCTCAACTTAAATAAAACTCTAGTTTGGCCAAAGCTGGAATATTCTACCCTAATCGGGGCAGAGCACTTTAGAAAGGGCATGAAGTCTTTGAACCTTTGAAGAGGGTTTAAGAAGAAATTGACGAGAATGATCATGGAGAAGCAGGAATTGCATGTTATGTGAATTCTGGAGGAGCTGACATTGTTCCTCTAGGAGCAGAGAAGGCTTGGAGCAGATTAGATGCAAGTATTTAAAATAAGGATGAATTTAGGCAATTTAATAAATCATTTCCTAGCTTTGAGGCATTGATAACAAATGAAAATGGAGTTAAGGTGTTTGGTCAAAGAATTACAGGTACCATGAGGACAATTATTTTTTAATGCCATGAGTGATTAGGATTTGGGATATATTGCCTGATAGGGCAGTGGACACAGAATCAACAGTAGCCTCAAAATGGTATAAATGCTTGAAGGAGATTGCAGAAATATGGAGGAAGTAGTGGGGGGCAGAATAGTAGGACTAAATGGATTACTGTTTAAAGAAAGAACAGCATAAACTCTATGGGTGAATGGCCTCCTTTTATATTGTACCATTCCATTATTCTATGACACATTAAATGCAAAGTGTACTTAAATGTGGTTTAGAAAGGTATGCCGAGAAATTATTATTGTTGGCTCACACAGCCAAATACTTTACATGTTTGTGCCTATCTGCTACGCTGAGGAGGCGTTATGCATTCTTATGTTTCACTCCTGCTCTATATCCAATGGGAGATTTGAATCTTTACAGAATACAAGAAAATAATTAACTCGTGCATTATAACAAAGAATGTAATGCATATTTGACTGTTAATTTGGTCATCTATAAATTCTAGTTTATGTTGAGATAATTAGCAAGCTATTTGGTGATTTTTACTCACTTCTTGCCTTGGATCTTCTGCAAATCTCTGTATGACGTACTTCAGTTCCCTGAGAAAATGTACAAATAGGTAACTCTACACCGTCCAACTCCTACTGTCTTTACAAACAAAGTGTAATAGCAACTTTTGTTAAAACTAAGAATAGTTTCTACCCTAGCTCATTTTGCCGCTGACAGTGAATTTGGAATCACAGAAGACTAAAAGACATTACACTATCGTGGGAATTTTTTCCTCTTTGATAAAAGGTTGAAAAGATCCCAGTTATTGGAACTGCACATCTGTTCTCCTGCCAAACTGAGGGCAAGACTCAAGATATTTGAAGAGGTAAAGTTCATCAAAAAAGATTTCTTTAGTACTTAGATGTAAAAGGCTGGTTTTGAAACCTTCATCTGCTCTTCAGTTGGAAATTTGTACAAGTGCTACTCTTGTAACTGATTAACATAAAGTGGCGTTTTTAACTAAGTCTATTCACTCCTGTTTTCTCAGCGGATACTGAGTAGAAGCCAGGTTAACATGACTGAAGCACTGTTTTTGTAAAGGCAGTATTTAATTAAAACTTTTTTTTTGGTGAGGGAGTGTCTGGAGCAACATGAGCTCTGTTATTTTCATCACATCCAAGTGAGAAGATGACGTATTTCAACACATTTTATAGCACTGTATTATTTGAAAACAAGATTTATCATCTGTTAAGTTGTGCATTTTAGAATAGAATTCTACATCATAGCTGACAAATTTCATTAATGTATTGTACTTATGTTTAGGCCATTGGGAGTGGAAAGATTACTGGAGTGCATTACTTCACATTAATAACTGAGGAAAATATTACTGGATCTATGATCATTCCTGCATTTCTAAAATGTTGTACTAATCCACAAACCAAATAATTCTGAATTGTGCAACTGATCACACAACTGTTTTGAAATTACTCAAGCATTAAGAACTGGATTATTTAAAAAAAGTCCTTAGAATTGTAAATATACATGGACTATATATACACATAGGTACTAAAGCGTATATCCACAGCGCACTAGTAATACATGCACTACACAGTAATCCTGATGTGGAGGTGCCGGTGTTGGACTGGGGTGGACAATGTCAAAAGTCACATGACACCAAGTTATAGTCCAACAGATGGTTTCAAATAAACCTGTTGGACTATAACCCGGTGTCATGTGATTTTTGACGTAATCCTGACAACTGAGAAGGAATGATTTATGCTGCTGACATACAGGAGCTAGAAAGTATCCTTCCCCACAAATCAATAATCAAATTTCTGAAGTACTCCATTTCAGTAGAATTTAATCATACTTAAACAATGAGCACATAACATCGTATATCATTTCATATTGTCCAGCTAAGGGAAAGGATTCATTTAATGTATTTTAAAGTATGTCCATTGTCGGAAATGGTTTTTTAAAAATGAACATCACTGATTAAGAATTAGTATTTCCCAATGAAGCATGTCAATGGTTTGGGAATAAATAAGTTTGAACAGCCAGTTGAGTCATATTTAACTGTACATCTTATCTCTTAGGTACATTTGTATTCCATATATTTTATAACAGTTTCTCATATGAATCAATGAAGAATGGTTTGCTAGCTGGGGTTGGGGGTTAAGGGAAGATCCAGTAAACGGCATGTTTGCTGTCTTGTATGGAACACAGAACATAAGGAAATGTCTCACAGTTCAGTATCTTTTTGTCCATGTCCGTCACTGTATTCAGTGTTACAAATTAAATTGAACTGTACTCTTATCTAGGTAAAACATATAAAATGTGTTACTTACTTTGTGAACTTCACATGTGCAAGTGCCCTGTTGACAAAATGCACAAACATTTCATCCATCCATCCTTAACACAGCAGTATAAAATTTATTCATTAAATCTATGTGGTTTGATAAATTTTAAAATATTTTCACAAAGCATTCATAAATTCTAACCTATACATATTAGGTGCATGGAGCATAGTAGTTCAAAATAACTTCATAATTTTTTTTATTTTCCATTTTCAGTTCTAAATAGAGCAAATGGAAATTTACGTAAGTATATGCGATTAGAATGCAGTAGAAAATTATTAAAGATCATTCTTTTCGCTACATCAGATTAGCAACTTATTCTGTGAACTCTAGGATCAGATCTTTGAATTGGTAGAAAACAACAAAAGAAATTAGCAATAGATTAGCCATTGTTTTCTTTGCCTTGTTGATGAGTTTCAGTTGATGTTAGCTGTACTGACTGAATGATGTGTATGACAGAATGGGGTGACAGATGCTGAAATTATGTTGAAAGCTTGATTAAAGCTAATTCTGACCCTTTGAAATGACTGTACTGATTACTCAAAGAAAAATCCCAAAGAACAGCACTGCATAACAGAGGCTACATTTCATATTGATGCCCTAGGTAGGCAATGCAGTCTACATAGAGACGATTAATATAAATGTACTGCTGATAGGAAAAGAAAATTTCAGAAGTTATTTGTTTTAAGCTACACAAATAACTTTCAATTTTGGATAATTGACCACGGATGTCTCATTCAAAATGTTTTAAAAATTCTTTCACGGGACATGGGCATCTCTGGCTAGATTAGCGTTTATTGTCCATCCTTAACTGCCCTTGAGAAGGTGGTGGTGAGCTGCATTCTTGCACAGCTGCAGTCCACGTGGCAAAGCTATGTCGTCGTTAGGGAGGAAATTCCAGGATTTTGACACAACAACAATGAAGGAATGATGCTATAATTCCAAACTGGAATGATGTGTGGCTCAAGCCATTTTTGGTTTGAAATCTTCTCCTGACCTAGTAGTATTTAGCCGATGCCCATAAATTATTTGGCTTCCTTTGTGTCGTCATTCGTGTCTATAGAATTCCTGGCATCAGGAATATGGTAGCATTGTGATCATGTTATTTGTCCTGTAATCCAGAAGACTGGACTAATGCTCCAGGCACAAAAGTTCAAATCTCACCACAGCAACTGGGGAGTTTAAATTCAATAAATTAAATAAATCTGGAATAAAAAGCTTGAATCAGTAATAATAACATGAAACTACTGGATCATTCAGTGATGTCCTTTGGAGATGGAAGTCCATCATTATTGCCAGTTTGTGCTTATATTTGACTCCAGACCCTCAGCAATCTGATTAAATCTTAACTGTCCTTTCAAATGGCCTAGCACCTCACTCATTGTTTTCAAGGTATGCAAGGTCAATTAGTAATAAAGAACTTTGCCAGTTAACAAAGTAAAATAAAATTTTAATTAAGTCCTTTTTTCACAAAGAAACCATAATGTTTCTCATGTTTACATTTTTATCTCTCAAATTAATCTATTTTTCTATATAGTCATGTATGTTTGTCCAGCCCTGTGATTACTGAACTAAATGTCAGTTCTGATTGGTTTCTACAGCTTCCCTCTTCAGGATGGAGATCCGAATTCCCCATTTTAATTCTTGAGCTTCCAATATGCATTTTCAAGGCATTTGAAGCATCTACTTCCATCCTTTCCTCGAGAGAGAGGTTTAATTATTTTGTCATCATACTCCGTTGGGTAGCTCTCTCTTTCTACTTTACTCATAATCTTGCACTTGAGTCTAGTACCAAAATGTATCAACTTTTATCTATATAATCTCAATTCTGTTCTTTCCTATGCCATTGATTTGTGTGAACAATAGCTTCTGCCATGGTTTCTACCCAATTTATATGTTACCACTCACATTACATCCCTTACGCAGGCAACCAGGAGACAAAACATTGATTTTCACTTCTTAGAATACTTCTTAGAAGCAATACATGTGTTCTTTATGCTAACATACTTACTCTTTGGGAAAGGGAATAGGTTGAAGCAGACTAGCAAGAGCGGGTCTCCAGTCATCATAATCTGACCTGCAGGACAGACAAACAAATATGAACTCCTGCACTAGTTACACTTCTGTTTACAATTAACACACATTTCCTAAAAATCAAAACAAATATCCAATAGTTCACTCAGGGTCACCGGACCCAAAACGTTAATTCTGATTTTTCTTCACAGATGCTACCAGACCTACTGAGCTTTTCCAGCAACTTCTGTTTTTATTCTGATGGCTCACTGCTTATTTCACTGTACTTGAAAATTCAAACTTCTCCCAAAAAAGTAATTGTACAATAAATGAACTATTCAATTTTGAGTGTGATAAACCAATAAGGTTCCAAAAGCTGTATAAGAACATAAAAAATAGCTGGTGACGTACTCTATTGAGCATGCTCTATATTCAATAAAATTAAGGGTATTCTTCTATTTAATTTCCACATTCCCATTCCTACCCTATTGCTGTATCCATTATTCCTATAAGCATTAGGGATAAAATAAAAGAACCTTGTGTATTTCTGATGATTATGAATATTCCACAATTTTTCTGTGTGAAACAATTTATTTCTCCTGAGTAAATATTTCACAAGCTAAAGCCAGCAATTTACAGGAGCAAAAAATAAAATCATTGACACGTTCATGTGAATAACCTAGACATAACTCAACCGCACACAGTCCTCCAGAATGGATTTAAAAGTCACAATGAGATCTAAGGAGTCAGTTGCCCTTAATGAATTATATCATCAGTGGAAGCAAATTCTGGATTTTTTCCACTTATGTGAGAGACCATGATTAAAAAAGAGTGATCTCATTCTGTCGCATGTGAAGTACAGTCATTTTACACTTTCAAAACAAAATATTTGAAAGTTTGTCAGATATGCCATTACATTCATATAGTCCACACTAATTAACAGTAAGTCTGACGAGAACAGGTCTTATTTAACTTTGTGTTTGGTTCATGTACGGATTTCCCTGAAGCATGAAATTCACGTAAAGATCAAAAGTCCTTTCACAATTGTCTGGCTTAAGCTGTGCTGATCCCGTGCATCAAGTGTGTAATTCAGCTGTCTAAGAAATGTTCTTTCGGTTTCACCCTAACATCAAAACAAGATGTCCTATTTAAAATCTTCTGGACAGTTTCACTAACTGATCCATTGTCTATTCTGGAAAAAACTTTCAGTACGGTGTACGAAGAATTACAGAGTGAAGGACAATGAGTTTCGAAGGCACAGTAGAACAGTTATGCAACCATTGCCTGTGGCAATGCTGGTCTGCCAAGTCCCCATTAGTTATTATTAAGCCCATAAGTTTAGATACATAAAAATTATGACATACTTGTAACTTTGTATTTATTTTTCATGGGTATTATTTTTAAAGATAAGATGCAGCAGCTTACAATGCTGATTTCTGACATTCTATTTGAAATGACGAGGACACTTAATTTTGGCTGCGCTGGGTGAGTTGTGCAACTGATTTCAAGGGAAAAGTGATGCAACATCAAAATTACAGCAGAAAATAACAAGATTATCATCTTGCTATTTATAAAACCCTGAAATGTTGCTTTATGGATATCAATTTGACAAAATATTGTTTAAAAAAAACTACATTTTCCAGTCATACAAGTAATTAGGAAATTGATCGAACACCGCTTTCTATCCTAAGTAAACCATTGATGCTTTAGACTGGATGGCAAGGCTGTCAATTGGTAAAGCTGTCCTTTACAATGGATTCTTCTCGGAGGATTCTGCTACTACACTGTATCCTTAAATGAACCCATCCTGTTCCTTATTATTAAACCACCCTAGTTACTCAATTCACCACCACACTGGTCGCAGCTTGCTCTAAGTGGAGTCTGTTCATTCAATGAAGTCTCTCATAAGAGATGGACAGCTCAAATTGAAGCTCATGGAACTGAGGACAAGTTATTGACCTGATTAGCAAATGTTGAACAGCGTAAGAGAAATAGACAGGTGCTATAACTGGCAAGCTGTGACCAGAGATGTCGCACAAGGACCTGTGTTGCAGTGTCAACTATTTAATGACTCTGATTACAAGATGAAGAGCTACACATCCAAGTATGCCAATGACATCAAAAAAATTAGCACAAAGTTAAGCAGCGGAAATGAAAGCACTAAATTATAAACATATATTGATTAAACAAAAGGGCAAAGGTATGGCAAATGAAATAGAGGAAAAAGGTGACTATCAACTTTAGACATAAAAAGGATTGAAAAGAATATGCTTTAAATGTTGAAAAGCTTGAAACAGTGGAGGTCGAGTAGACTTAGGAGTCCATGTATACAGATCATTAAAACTGTCATGGCCAGGTACAAAATATATATTCAAGGGTTGATGAAATGTTGGCCTTTGTATTAATAGGAGTGAAATACATGATGTTGGAAGTCATGCTACAGCTAAACAAAGCCATAGATTGACCACACTTGGAGTACTATATTCAGTGCTTCCAGTGTGCTCTGTAATTCTCAAAGTGAGTTAAGGGTCGGGGAGCCAGTAAACTGGGCACCTCCAATTAATGGCTCATTAAGTTCAATGAGGAGCTGGACAGAAACAGAAGGAGATCTTCGAGCGACAAAAAGGAAGACCGGCCATTAGTGCACATCGGTCTGGAGCACAGCACAGGGCCAGAATGTGACATTGTTGCTGAAATAAAATGGTGACATGAAAGGGTTCTTCAAACTCAGAAGGTCAGGCAATGGCACAAAGTTTCCAGTGCTTGAGCAATGTGAAATAAACGGTGATTGGTCGTGTGGTCATGTCTGTGCACAGTGATGATGCTGACCCTCTGAGCTCCATTCTATAAAGACAATAGCAGGTCAGTCACTGCTGCTGTCTACCTTCGAGCATTGCAATCCAGAGGTAGTTTCAGCTTCCAAGAAGTGCCTGGCACCACTAATTGTGCACTGAATTCACCTCTGGCCAATTAGAGACTTTGCATACTGAAATAGTACGCGTTGGGTTCTTAAGCCAGGATTGAAAATCTAGCCCAGATAATGGAAGCTTTCAATCTATTATGGGGAACAGTTAGGTAAATTGGGAACAATCTATTTCTGCTGGTTCGGAAAGCGAAGACTAGAAAACAAAAGCTACAAATTAGAGTCACAGCTTTCAGCAGTGAAGTTAACAAACATTTCTCCATGCAAAGTCTCAATCCAAAATGATGGCAAAATACATTGTTCATTTCAAAACAGAGACTGATAGATTGCTGTTAACCAACAATATAAAGGGTTACGGGGCCAAGTTCATATATGGAGTTATGTCACAGATCAGCCATGATTGCAGTGAATGATGCTAGATTTATTTGAGGGGTCAAATGGATTTTTCCTGTTCTTGTGGTTTATAAATAATCTTGGAATTTTGACGCTGTATAAGGGCAATAAACCTTGCTACAAGTGTGTAAAACATTGCTCAGATCATTCCTGGAATACTATACACAGTTTGAAACTAATTACAGAAGGAAGGGTCCATTCCCTTGACAGAGCGCAAAATGCATTCACCAAATTGACTTCTGGAATAAGAAGGGTATCTCATCAGGAAAAATTGAGTAGAATGGTCTTATATTCTCTTGGGATAAGAGATGATCACATGGAAACTTTGAACTTATTAGAAGATTTTCAGGGTAAATGATGAGAGGCTGTTAACCCTGGCTGGAGAGTCTGAAGCTAGCAGCCATAGGCGCAGGAATAAGGCGTTACTGATTAAGGACTTAACTGACCAGAAATTTTTCACTCAAGGATAGTGATTCTTTTAAATTTGACACCATAAGATATAGGAATAGAACTAGTCCATTCGGCCCAAGGAGTCTGCTCTGCCATTTGAACATTGGTGATATGTTTCTCAACTTCATTTTCTTACCTTCTCCCCATAATTCTTGATCCTCCTACCAATCAAGACCTGATCTCTGTCTTAAACACACTCAATGACTTGTCCTCCATAGTCCTCTGTAGCAATGAGTTCCACAGATTCACTGAAGGAAATCCCTCATCATTTCACTTCTAACGGGTCATCCTTTCAGTCTGAGGCTGTGTCCTCGGCCCTGGTCCCTCCTACTAGGGAAACATCTTCTCCATGGCCGCTCTATCCAGGCCTCTCAGCATTCTGTAATTTACAATCAAATACCCCCTCATCCTTCTAAACTCCATTCATTGCACACCCAGAGTCCTCAACTGCTCCTCATATGACAAGACCTTCATCCCTGGGATCAATCTTGTAAGCCTACTCTTAACTCACTCCAACAAATTCCTTAGATATGGGACCCAAAACTGTTCATAATACTCCAAATGCCATCTGACCAGAGCCTGTATAGCTTCAGCAGTATATTTAAGCTCTTGTATTCTAGCTCTCTTGAAATGAATGCTAATAATGCATTGCCTTTCTAACTGCCAACTGAACCTGCACATTAACATAAGACAGTCCTGAACTAGGACTCCAATTCCCTTTGTGCTTCAGATTTCCAAAGTCTTTCCCCTTTTAGAAAATAGTCTATGCCTCTATTCTTCCTACCAAAGTTCATAACCTCACAATTTCCCACATTTTATTCCATCTGCCACTTCTTTGCCCACTCTACTAGCCTGACAATTCCCTCTGCAACCTCTTTGGTTCCACATCACTACCTGCCCATCTACCTATCTTTGTGTCATCAGCAACAACGCCCTCACTTCCTTCATCCAGATTGTTAATTTATAAAGTGAGTAGTTGTGGTCCCAGCATGGATCACTGCAGAACTCCACTAGTCACCAGCTGCAATCATGAAAAAGATCCCTTAATGCATACTCTCTACCTTCTGCCAGTCAGCCGATCCTCTATCCATGCCAGTAGCTTGGTCCTAATAACATGAGGTCGTATCTTATTTAGCAGCTTCCTGTGCGGCACATTGTCAAAGGCTTCCTCGAAATCCAAGTAGATCATGTCCACTGGCTCTTCTTTGTCTAACTTGCTCATTATCTCCTCAAAGAATTCTAACAGATTTGTCCGACATGACCTCTCTTTGATGAAGCCGTGCTGACTTAGCCCTATT